TCATCCAACACGAGGACTACAACGGCTTCACCCTCAGCAATGACATCTCCCTGCTTAAGCTGTCTAAGCCGCTGAGCTTCAACGACAACGTTCGCGCTATCGATATTCCTGTTCAGGGTCACGCTGCCTCTGGCGACTGCATCGTGTCCGGTTGGGGCGCTCTCAAGGAAGAAGGAGACTCCCCCAGTGTCCTGCAGAAGGTGTCCGTTCCCATCGTGTCTGACGCAGAGTGTCGCGATGCTTATGTCCAGAACGACATTGAGGACTCCATGATCTGTGCCGGAGTGCCCGAGGGCGGCAAGGACTCGTGCCAGGGTGACTCTGGCGGCCCCCTTGCCTGCTCTGACACCGGCTCCACCTACCTGGCCGGCATCGTGTCCTGGGGCTACGGCTGTGCCCGTCCCGGCTACCCTGGTGTGTACGCTGAGGTCGCCTACCATGTCGATTGGATCAAGGCCAATGCTGTTTAATTCTAAATGGGTTATACAATAAAAGAATCCAAAATAAAACGTACGATATCATTTATGAATTCTTATAATCTTTATGAGTATTAAGAATGGCCCAAGTAATATATTCTCCATTACCAGCCCTTTGCAAAGCGTCGATGATACAAAACTTTCTATGAGGAATCACTCTGGATATTAGCATACAAAATCAACATGACTTGTAGAATGCATATAAAAAAGAGTGATTTCATACTGCAAGAGATCTATCAGCATTTAAAGCAGGAGTTCGGTTGGGCAAGACTTCTTGCCGATAGGCCAGAACTGTACCGTTTCCTGCTTAAAACGCTTGGATCACATACACATACTGGGGGTTTCAAAGCAATAGACAAGTATTCCCACAAACAACTTCGTAGAGAGATAACTGATGCATAGGTTAAGGGAGGAGGTCATCCCATTGGCGGTTGGTAACAGTGGGATGCACATTTCAAAACAACAGGCAAGCTAGCACTGCATCATGCAGAAAAGCTTTCAGATTTCTCTTCTAGTTGAAAACGATGCAAATACAGATATCCTGCACAGATGAAGCATTTTGCCAGTATGCTTATTTTCTAGTATGCTGGACAACCACTTCTTTACTAGACCACAATTCAGTGGGGAGAGGTCTACGTTATCTTGTCTGAATGCGCTTGGCTGGTGTTTGTTGGCATTTGCTGCAGTAACACGTTCTTTTTTGGTTACACTTTATATTAGATTGCATTATTACAGTTCTTTGCGCAGAGTAATTCAAATACCATCGAGTGCTATTTTATCAATTGAAGACACCAGTGCTTTTTCTTTATTTATTCTAACTCCTCTATCAACATGACTGACTGCCTGTTGCATCCCGATTTTTCTTTTAATATTTATGTAGATGAAAAGTAAATCTCAACTTGCGGTGAATAATTGAAACACAGAAACATACATATATTTACACATATATTTTTCATTTATGTTTATTATTATTTTTATTTGGATATTGCATTGATTACCAAAGGTCTTCAATACTTAATTCAATTTATCAATTCTCAAAGTATTACACATTAGAAAAATAAGTCAGGTTACGGTAGTTTATATGTATATATATATATATATATATATATATATATATATATATATATATATATTATATATATATATTATATATATATATATATATATATATATATATATATATATACATGTGTGTGTATATATAATATATATCTATATATATATACATATACATATATATATATATATATATATATATATATATATATATATATATATATATATATATATATATATATATATATATATATATATATATATATATATATATATATATATATATATATATATATATATATATATATATATATATATATATATATATATATATATATATATATATATATATATATATATATTATATATTATATGTACACACACACACACACACACACACACACACACTATATATATATATATATATATATATATATATATATATATATATATATATATATATATATATATATATATATATATATATATATATATATATATATATATATATATATATATAATTTTTATACTATGCATACTGAGCTGTTAAGAAAAAAAAATGTAGAACGACTGATTGTTTTTTTTTTTTTTTATGAATTATATACTGATAGCGTTTTGCTTTCTGTAATATCTTTTCTTAATGGTTGGCCTTTGGCAGCAAAAATAATTCACTTATACCTCGGTAAGGCAATGCTGAACTTAAGGGAAAATATACTTGTGTGAAACATTTCACATGTTAACGAAACACGCACACGCACACACACAGATAGCAAGGTTCTCAGATTGTGCAACATAAAAATCAAATCTTTAACGGCGCACGGAAGCAGGTGGACCACTGACTATGATATTTGAAGACATAAATTGTTAATCATGACGATTAACAATTAAGTTAAATCCATATAGAAACCTTGAAAATTACCCGGTTGTATTTTATAGACCGAAAAAAATACTTCGAATGCACACTTCAAGATACAGCTGGTGATAACAGGCTTGGGAAAGTCCTTGTGGCTAGTATAAAGCTTGCTTGCAAGTCCCACTCTCCACCAGTGACCAGCCATGAAGTCTCTCGTGCTCTGCCTGCTCCTCGCCGGGGCCTTCGGTGAGTGCCTCTGGAACAGCATGGCTCTGCTTCAGCCTCTGAGTCAACAGGATAGAGAATTTTGAGTTATCAAGGAGTATTGCTTTCATTTTTTATTCACACTCTTCAAACCAGGATGATGTTCGCTTACGGAGTAATGTTATTGTTGCTTGATCTCCATTCCCAATTCATAAAAGCATATCATACACACAAATAATGTATTTGGACAGATGTGTCGTCTTTTTTTTTTTTTTTTTTGTGTTTGTGTGACATTGATATATTTGTTGATGAATTCCCTCAGCCGCCCCCTCCAGGAAGCCCACCTTCCGTCGCGGTCTCAACAAGATCGTCGGAGGAAGTGAGGTCACTCCTGGGGAGCTGCCTTACCAGCTCAGCTTCCAGGACAACTCCTGGGGGACCGCCTGGCATTTCTGCGGCGCCTCCATCTACAACGAGAATTGGGCCATCTGCGCTGGTCACTGCGTCCAGGGCGACGACTTTGATAATCCCAGCTACCTTCAGGCAAGTTCTATGGTTCCATAAAATATAGTGTATATCTGTATATCTAAATATCCAGACAGATTTATTCAACAGACGTCAGTGAGTGCTATGGCATGGCATGAATTGGTTATGGCATTGATTACTTTCTCAACGAGTCGAACCCATAATATGTAGGTTTCCTAGAAATGGAAGGCATATCAACAGAGCTGTGACTGGACTATTTATTCAAGTTGTTTGCTTCTAATTCCTTTATGATGACCACGATCAGGTCGTGGCCGGAGAGCATAACTTCGACGTGAATGAGGGCAACGAGCAGACGGTCGTCCTCTCCAAGATCATCCAACACGAGGACTACAACGGCTTCACCATCAGCAACGACATCTCCCTGCTCAAGTTTTCTCAGCCTCTGAGCTTCAACGACTACGTTCGCGCCATCGATATTCCCGCTCAGGGTCACGCTGCCTCTGGCGACTGCATCGTGTCCGGCTGGGGCGCTCTCACTGAAGGAGGCAGCTCCCCCAGTGCCCTCCAGAAGGTGTCCGTTCCCATCGTGTCTGACGACGAGTGTCGCGATGCTTATGGCCAGAGCGACATTGAGGACTCCATGATCTGTGCCGGAGTGCCCGAGGGCGGCAAGGACTCGTGCCAGGGTGACTCTGGCGGCCCCCTTGCCTGCTCTGACACCGGCTCCACCTACCTGGCCGGCATCGTGTCCTGGGGCTACGGCTGTGCCCGTCCCAACTACCCTGGCGTGTATGCTGAGGTCTCCTACCATGTCGATTGGATCAAGGCCAATGCTGTTTAATTCAAACTGTTAGAATTAAAGAGTCCATAATAGAATATGCTAAATCATTTACGAATCTCCATAATCTTTATTAACATAAGGAATGCCTCGAGTATTTTATTCTTCATCGCAAACTTTTATCAAACTATGCAAACTTTTAATTTGGAATCACTCAGGATATTCGCATACATAAACATGGTTTATAGAACACATATAAAAGAGAGAGAATGATTTTACACTGTGTGAAATCTATGTGTAAATTTATTTTGGTACATATATTATAGATAATAAGATTACAAAATAGAGCATATATACATATATGTATATTATGAATGGGAAAATAATCTGCCATGTTGATGCTATGGTAAAAAAAAAAAAAAAAAAAAAAAAAAAATCGGAATCGTCCTCGATGTCATCTTCGGATCTAGTTTGTGCATTCTGGGTTTTTCTACTATATATGTATAATATATAAAAATGTCTATCTTCCCACACAGACATGCATACAAACCTACACACACTTGTATATATATATATATATATAATATATATATATATATATATATTATATATATATATATATATATATATTATATATATTTGTGTGTGTGTGTATGTATGTATATATAATATATTTATATATATGTATATATATATATACATATATAATACATATATATATATAATATACATATATATATATATATATATATATATATAATATATATATATATATATATATATATATATATATATATATAATATATATATATATATATATATATATATATACATATACATATCATATTATTATATATAGAAATTTATCATGTTTATTCTAATAAATTTTTGTAAAGAAGTCATATCAGTGATTTTTCATATACCATTTTATTTAAATGTAGGTCTATTCTAACCGTTTTTCCTGTTAGTTAAATTTCTGGGTAATAGTCTTAAAGAGCTGTCACAACTAGCACTTTTACCATCAATTTTTTTTAACCATTTCCTGAAATTTTGTCCATTTTTGAGCGAATTGTCGATTTTCCAGTCAGACGATAATGATCGTTTCCGTCTGAAAACCTTTCCGTCAACTTTTTCAGCCAAGCATAGCCAAATCAAGTGCTATATTCGAGAATGCTTGTATTTATGTTAAAAAAAATTGTCATAAAAAATGACGGAAAAAGTGCTAGTGTGACAGCCTCTTTAGGTCTCGTAAGGTGTGAATGTATTCAATCCTCATGATTGTGCCAAATATGCAATGGGCATAGCAACATTTTCAACCATTAATATTTTACCCAATGATTAAATAATAACCCTTTCCCTGATACGTGCATCATTCAGTGACTATACTGAGGGCTTCCGAGCAGACATGTGCATCGATGTACACGCCTGTAACAAAATTTCTCATTTACTGGATTGGAGTATACCACTTCATGAACAAAGTCCGTTTTGTAGGGAACATCGATTTTTTTTTTTTTTTTGTTAATATCCATCAATATATTTCAAAATATATTAGAAAAACTCATAAAAAGAATAAGTAGTACGATTACTGCTTAATTTCCTAAGATTTGGTAACTCAAGATGAGCCATATCTGTGCTGTTAAACCTGACCTCAGTAGGTGGTGTCACCTTACTCAGGTACCGCTTCGCCGCACGCGGCCTATATATATATATATATATATATATATATATATATATATATATATATATATGTGTGTGTGTGTGTGTGTGTGTGTGTGTGTGTGTGTGTGTGTGTGTGTGTGTGTGTGTGATACTATTGTACAAAACCCACAATGCACAAATGTAGTTTGTGGATTGTGGGGTATCTACATATATATATATATATATATATATATATATATATATATTATATATATGTATGTATGTATCTACTGATATATATGAGTTTATGAATTCATATGTATGTATACATATTGTTATAATTATATAAACATATGGCGATTTCTAAATTTTTGCCTATATTAAAGCTCCATTCTGTGACTTCCAATGGTATGACTTCCAATGCCATGGCCAGGAGAGAAGTGGTCTAAAATCCCCCCAAGCTTTTCTGCTGACACCAGGCATCGAGTTTTGGACCTCGATGCTTGTCTTACGTTTCCTATAATAACTTATTAGTAGATATTTTACTTGTACTGGACTAAAGAGTAATATTTCCCACGGTCGCTCAGGTGTTCAGCCAATGTTTACTTCAGACACATACATGATGTTTCGTCAGGTCGTCAGTTTTCAGTCTGTCTCAATTTTACTATGATAATGTGAAAATAAAAATACAGCTGCATATTTATTGATGGGGACCGATGTATCAGTGTTACGTAACAGTCAAGTACAATCATTCAACTTTAATTAAATCTGGTAGACTGACAGCTGATTCAAACAGGAATAAAATGGATCCTATTGTTCCAATCAAGACTCTCCATGAATATGTGGAAATTCAGTGACCGGCAGTTCATGTAAGCTCATATGCTAACTGACTGTCATAGCTTCTTTGACAACTTTGCCGCACGAGTAAACACTACTTACTGTAAAGGACAACCATGTTTTTTTTTTTTCAGAAGATTACATTACCTGAGTGTACTTTTGCTCGAGTTTCTGTGTCACGGAATCTGAATTGCTCTTTTAGAAGGTCTCTAAGTATGGTCAAGGAAATAATTGATTGAAAATTATTAAACTGGCTTCGAGGACTTTCCCTTCCGCACTTTGAAGCGCCATGGATCCCTCTTCCTTTTGTTTGAGCTTCTGTTCAGCGTCGCTCACATAACGACGGTCAAGTCCCAGTCAAAGGTATTTACATGAATAGCAGTAAAATCTTTTTCATTCTATCACACACACACACACACACACACACACACACACACGCACACACACACACACACACACACACACACACACACACACACACACACACACACACACACACACACAGACTTAGCGTGAAAATAAAAGAAATAACCATCTCTAGCAGTAATCTACACGACAAAGATAGATAGATAGATAGATAGATAGATAGATAGATAGATAGATAGATAGATAGATAGATAGATAGATAGACAAATAAATAGACAGACAAACAGCTTTATTTTTACTTACTGAATATTACATGTTTTACAGCAGGTTCTAGAAAACTAACCATCATGTCGGAAAGTTGCCGACGCATTTGACTTCCCGGAAGCCTCCGTCTGTCAAAGTTTTCTCCAAGCCTGTCATGCAGCGTCTCCTCCAGGGTCGAAAATACTCTGGAAGGTTTTATTCTACCGCGTATGCAAAGAAAGAAAGAAAAAAAAGAAAGAAAAAGAAGAAGAAGAAGAAAAAAGGGGCATTGACATTCTCTCCTAGATTCACTTTCTCTTTTATGTCGCTCTGTCAGCTCACCTCTGACATGCTTTCTTGCACTTACTTACACAGACATACACACATATACATGTATACGTATGGGTGTGTGTGTGTTTGTGTGTGCGTGTGTGTGATAATAATAGTAATGATAATCATCATCGTCATCAACAATACCATCATTAACTTTCTTGTATCATTATTGTAATAGTTACTGATATTGTCATAATAATATCCATCATTACATATATCATTTCGATTACTATTTCAGTAGTATTATTGTAACAATACTAATTATCGTTATTGATATTATTGTTTATGATCTCTTCCTTTCCTTTTCTTTTTGTTTATCTGCTCTTATTGCTATAAGTATCATATTTTTAAGGAATTCCCCTTATTAACCAGCAACTGACCGCATTCAAAACCACGATTCCCGGCTGTTTGAATTTTAGTTCATTTTACTGAGAGCGAATATTCCAGGACATTTTGGATATTTTGGAATGGAATATTTTGCTCCTGTCTTAAGTTTGATTTCATTCCGTTTAAGAACTTGCGTGTTAACCCTTTCTTTCTCAACTGGTGGCTTTCCGGTAATGTAAGTAACGTGACAAAATGTTAAAATTTCTGGCAAGTTTCCGTGCAATTATGCCCTCGTACCGAGAGAGAAATAAAACGAATTTTGGTAAGTATTCCGTAATTAGGTGATTTAAAACACATTAAGAATCTGGCTAGGGTTTCGCAGTGTCGGGGGCCCCCCAGGGAGGCTATTGGTCGTCCAACGAACGGAGGAAACAATGCCGGGTTTGTATCTTTACTGGAAAAGAGTGCACTTGGGTCTCCGAGGAACAGGTGGCCGCTGTTTATGATTCGCTGTTGCTGCGCCAAGAGGGTTGCATGATCAACATAGCGACCTGCAGATCTAATTTGCCTTTGCTGTAGATTTTTTTATATGTTTATATGTACAACACAACACACACATATATATATATATATATATATATATATATATATATATATATATATATATATATATATATATATATATATATATTAAAATTTTTATAGTATATTAAAAATCATGTATATATATTTTAATTTATATTTCACACACACACACACACACACACACACACACACACACACACACACACACATATATATGTGAACAAAAGTGCTGTACAGTACAGTACCGTGTACACAAAAAACAAAATGAAAAAAGACACAGTAAAAACTGAAAAAAAACGTTCCGTTTATAAACATACATGTGTATATATATGTAAATGTATATGTGTATGTGTTTATATATATATATATATATATATATAT